CCGCCCCCCCTGCCCCTGGCGGGCGTGGTGGGCCGAGCCCTGGCTACCAGGCCCTGCCATCACCCACCCCGAGAGCCGCCGACCCTCACCTCTGTTCAAACACGCTAACGCTGCTTCTTTTGGAAGTGCTGCCAACATTTTGGAGCATGGCTCATGATTTTATGATACCAGAGATCATGAGTTGTACGACTTTTAATGCCAACTGGATATGCTGGTTTCATGCCGCATCAGTTTGCAGTCGTATTGCAAAAGCACATGAAAGGTGCCCTTAAATTCTTCCCACCCACTTTGCTGAAGTAAATCCTGTGTGTGTAGCATGGGTCCAACTCAGTTTTTAAAACCCTGGTAAAATTTTCCTGGAGTGTTGCTTTAAAGTGAAGCAATACTATCTATGGGAGATGAATACAAAGGCTGTAAATATATTCACTCCAGAAATAAATAAAATAAAAAATGCTCACGGTACAAATACTTTGAGCACAGCTTTCACTTGCCTTTTCCTTTTCGTCGTGCTGAAGACACCCCACTGCCGCTGCCCTTGGCGCTTTCGGAGGGCTCTGCCAGAGACACTGCAGAGAAGGAGGCTACTCCAGATTGTGGCTAATTTGAAAATAGAGACAACAGCTCTCCTTTTAAAGTAATTATGTATGTGACAACAAGCAGAATGTCAAGTACAGGCTGCTAATGCTGCAGTCCTACATGCACTTTAAACACCTCTTCCTGGAGGCATGAAGCCTTCCCTATTTTCAGGCAGCTGTATTTGAATGTTTTGAGCCGAGACATTTGTAGGGGCAGAAAACAGACAGAGGCTGGACAGATTTTATCTGACTGTAAGCCATTAAAAGCAAACCAGATGGTTCACTTAAGAATGGTATTAAAGTAAAATGAGTAAAAGTATGCCTAGGGCATAGTAAAATGTTTAATTTGTCATTCATCCTCAGCCTTAGCCAGTGATTGATGGACGATTTCACAAATGTGTCCAGATTAGATTCTGAATTAATCAATTTACTGTAATATTAATACAGTGCAATTGCTGATGCATTTACTTTTTATTGCATAGACTTACTTCTTCACTATTTTGCTTACCTTTGGGGTATTGCTCAGTTCAGTCATCACTGTATTCCTATGGAAATAAAAGATTTACCTTTATGTGGAGTCCTAAAACCTTGGCTGAAGTAACTGTCTTGAGGAGCAGTAATACAATACAGCCCAGATGGCATGAGCACAGTGTCCCAAGATATTTTATTATATCCCATGACTGTTTGCCATGCCCCATTTACCTGACCAACTTTATGCAGAGGATAATGGACACGCTTTTGCAACACAGGTTAGCATGCAGAGTGAAGCTAAAATATGTTGCATTGGCTAGGATCAGCCCTGCTGAAAGCATCTGCAGTATAATTTATACACATATTTCATCACAGCAAACTTCCTTTGCAATGAGGTGTCTAGGCAGTGAAAAATAACTTCAACTTAAAAGGAAAGGGAGGGTATTGTTATTACTACTCATTTCATCCTCGTAACCTAAACAATGATGTTAAGTTTTATATGCAAAACCATCACCTGTATTTTTAAGTGCACCTCACCTCGAAGGCCCTTCTTTTGGCCTCAGCTTGCACCTTTTGTTTCTCCTTTAATTTTTTTCCCAATATATTTTTTTTAACCTGGTGACAGTAGCAATTTCCCCCTTCATATAGGTCACACAGACAAAATATTGCTTCCAAGATAAACTGACACTTAAGAAAAAATAAAACAGATGATTGTCTTTACCCAGATAAAACTTTTCTACCAAGAAAATAGTCAAGGACAGATAACATAATCTAAAATAATAAATCATTTTTTCAGATATTTTCCTTACAAGTGAATGCTACATATTTATCATCTATGAGAAACTTTTCTAGAGATCTGCTTGGTTTTTTTAATATATAAAAACAATTGTTTTTTTCTGAAAAGTAGGGAAAAAATCCAAACTATTTTGGCCCAACTATTAAGCAGTTGATGCTGGTGGTGTGATATAGGCCTATCCCACAAAAACTCTGATGACAAGCAATTAGAGAACTATCCTGGTTTACCGAAATCAAAGAGATTGTAATCATGCCTTTTGAGACCCTTTGTGAACCAGGTTCTTGAGGCCACACATGGTGGCATGCTTTAAGTTCACTGTTGGTTTAAAGATCAGGGACTTAGCCGGCTTTAGCTCTGTTATATACACCGGTATGTAGGATATGATCCCCTACCCAGGTCTCACTCTCACAGTAAATCATCCACATGCAGCCCAGCCAACTGAACACTTAGTTTGTTGTGTCATGTCTTAGGAAAGTTGTAAAAATAAAGGTATTGAAGTTGTAAAGGATCTTGTCAGAGGGAATATTTATTTTCAAAAGTTGTGCTTTTGCTGACGGGCTAGAGTTTGAACCTTTGATGAAGATCACCTCATTTGCAATAATGATGAGTCATTACACTGAGATATGCTTTGTCTTGATATCCAGAGTCACAGTCGATCTTACATGGGTGGATTAATTGTGGGGGAAGAGTGAAAATTTCATAAAATATGGACTTGAAAAAATCACACAAGTTTCCTTTTTTAGCTCTTTAGGTGGTCTGTGCTAGGTAAAGAATATTATGGAAGACAATTCCCAGTGGTTCCAACACCTTTTCTAGCTTGACCTTTTTTTGCTACCTTGTTCATAGAAACCAGGTTTAATTAAAATGATGATAAAAATACGTTTGGGAGTTCAGCCTGTAACAAGTTTCACAACAGCACTATTCCATGATTCATATGAATTAATGACAGTCTGTTACCAAGGGCTGGTTTTGTCCCACTATAATACAGACAATGTTAAAGAGGCTTTCAAGGCAAACAGAAGTTGAATTTTTGATGTGAAACAATCATAAAAAATGCACAGTTTTAAAGACAAAATTCTTTTCATACCTGTTCTGTTGCAGGTTGCCTTTGAGGAAAATCATACTCAAATATCCTATTGAAATTACTTCCCACAGTAGACTTCTAGTCTGACTTCTTAACAAGCAGGTCTAACATATTCTTCAGAGGCTGCAGTTATATCTAGTAAATCATGTAATTCCTCTAGGCCCTATGGCTAAGTATATTGGCCAACTGAATGGGACTCAGGAGACCTGAACTCTATTCCAGGTTCCAAGACTAGCCTTCTGAAAAACTTCAGCTTTCTATGCTTTGTTATCCAAAAAACCAGACCAAATTGTATTGACTGCTTTTGTGAAGGGTTTTGAAATCTGCTTATGAAAAATGCTGCTTATAAGCTAATTACTGGTGTTCTTATTACCAAGAGAAAGGGCTCTGTGCAAAATTACATGGAATGTCCATTTTCTCCCTGAAGGAGAAAATTAAGAAGAGCGCCTCAGCACATCTGCTAATGATTAAGCATGCTACAGTTCTTATATTTGGTGTTATTGGATGCTTTTGGAATGTGTGGTGGCAAAGAGTTCTGCCCTTAAGGGCAGACTTGTTGCACGGAGCATACTTTCTGTTGGGACCATAGGCACAAGTGCACATGGTGGAGCACGGTGCCACCACGTGGGTTGGCAGTAGGCTGCCAGCAGAGAACTGATCTGAGCATAAAGTTGGAGGAAGCCCAAAACATTGACCATACGCCTTTCCAGCATGGTAGGGGCATAGCCAGGCATCGCTAAAGTCTATGTGAATATTTTTTATATTCTTTCAGCCTACAACCCTTTCTCTTCTACAAAGCACACCATCCAGCAATGCTAAGTACGTTGCCACATAGTCAACTAGGTATTTTTTTTCTAACTTGTATGCAGGAAAAGAGAAATAAAGAGCTGGTTGAGAAAGTCCAGTTCTCCTGATTCATAAACTTGTCTTTTCTATGAAATCAACAATTTCCAGGAATCTGCTACTTAATAAATTATTTTTTTCCCATGAATTTCATCACCTATGCCCTGACTTTAGAAGCCATTTTAATGTTTCATTTTTTAAATTTTTATTTTCTCTAATGTAACAACAAAATAAATTGTAGTTGACAAGCTTTGATTTTAAGGCCAAAAGGGATAGATAAGCCTTTATCAAAGGAACAGCCATGAGAGTATGATTTAATAAGTCATACCTTGAGTGTGTGTTAAGCAATATTTCAAGAGACATGGAAATCTCCAGGGGAAAAAAGGTGATTTTTTGGGCAGCTCGTGCTTTGTATGCTAATTACCATCATTCTCTTCTTTCTCCTGCCCCCACCATCTTTCTGCTTGGTCCATGCCCTTTTGGATAAGACAACTGATCTCTTCGTTGCCAGTTCTGGAATGGTCTAATATGCCTGCCTGCCTCTGCTCTTAGTTTGCCACATCTGTGAATGCATGTATTTATCTGCTATTTGTGTATTTATTTAGTATGTTATTATGTTGTGAACTGTGTGGTATATTACATAATGTAATATTACATGTAAGAGCAGAGCATCCAGAATTTAAACTCAAGAAGTGGCTGGCCTGGCCACTTTTTAATTCTTTGCTTACTGCAATTCCTGAATCCAGTGTTTTTCTACTGTAGGAACTCACTGTCCTACATATTCCTAGGATTCCACCCAAGCCACTAGCATTTAGATCTGATTGATGTATGCTTAGCTTGGGAAAGTGATCTGCAGCTTCAGTTCATGGTTTTCCTCAGGCAATTTCTTACAATATTGCAGGCATTTCAATCCCAACATCAAGACACAACTCTATCAATTCACTGCTGCTACTGTGGTATGATCTCATTTCCCAAAAGCAGTGTACAGCCTTTTGGCTAGGTATTAATAATAGCAAAGCATGTATCATGGTATCAGTTAAAGTATCTAGAAATGTGTCCTGATTATTTATTTTCCTTTCTTTTTTTTATTCCCATTTCACCACCAGCTGCATTCAGACCAGGATAAAGGAGATGGATCACTTAAGTACATCCTTTCTGGAGATGGAGCAGGAGACCTCTTCATTATCAATGAAAACACTGGTGACATCCAGGCCACAAAGAGACTAGACAGGGAAGAAAAGCCCGTATACATACTCCGTGCCCAGGCTATAAACAGAAGGACTGGAAGACCAGTGGAACCAGAATCTGAGTTCATCATTAAGATCCATGATATCAATGACAATGAGCCAATGTTTACAAAGGACGTTTACAATGCCAGCATTCCCGAAATGTCAGATGTTGGTAGGTGCTAACTAATAATTGATTTCAGTGTCTGGTCTGGGCTCTTTCTGTGGACTTAATGAAGGGCCCAAAGTTTACAGACACTGAGTACAGACATCTGCTATTTGATTCTAGAGTAAAGGCACCTCAGCCATTTAAAAAAAGAATAATCTAACTCCAGGAAAATGGTGACAACCTAGAATCAGAGGTGTCAGCTGAGTGAAAACCACGCCCTCTGTTGTACCACAAAAATATGCAAGTTAATAGAATCTAGTTTGGCTCACAGTGAAAGTGAGCTGATCCAGGCTGTGTTACATGACACCTGAAAGAGTTTAATATGCTTTGTTAACACAGCTTAGTAGCAGTGTAACAATATGGAAATCCATGGTGGTCTGTCCATACCACCCCTAGGCCTGTTCAGCAACCCTTTTTTAGTTCAAGATGGTAGAAAACAAAATGGAAAAGGCCAGGTGCAGAAGTGGGTGTACACACTTCAGGAGTGAAAACTATTACCCAAGTCAACTCATCACTGATTCTGAGATATGCTGTTAACTTCCTATGACCTTTGTTGCTCTTTTCATGCAAAGAAAAAAAGCTCCAAGGTCCACTGAAGTCCACTGAAATCTTTCTATTGATTTAAAATGTATCAAGCTGTAAGAAACAATAAAGCAAAGAAAAGATAATAACTTCCTTGAAATACGATTTTAAGATTGGATCTTTTCCAGAGAAGTTGACAGGTTTTGATTCTTTGTCTCCAATTCTTTGCGAGGTCATTTTGATTTCTTTGTCAGAGAGCAATGGATGGTTAAACTGCAAGAAGCACATTTCTAATCTGAAATAATATCCAGGGAGAGAAGCATTAATTAATCATAATCAAGAATTAGATTAAAGTAAAGCTCAAGCAATATGAAAATAAAGACTTTGGGGCATACTCTCCTCTCATTCATGGGACTTGTCACATGGATGAAACTTCGTCTGGTAAAGAGAGAACCTAATATTCACATTTTAATATGTGAAGTGAATACTTTATTCACAAATCTGCTTTAAATGCCAAAACCTAAGCTCATTTTTTGTTTGTTAACACTTTGCCTAGCATTCAACACCATTTCTTTCTCTAGAAGACACACGAATAAACAAATTTACACGTCATCTATTGTAATGTAAATTTACATGTTTACTAGGTCAGACACCTTACAAGCATGAGTAAATTTGCAAAAGTATATTCTTGACCTAGATTCAAATTCTGAATGCCTTCAATATCTGGGGAAGGGTGCATTTCTGGTTTCTTCATAAGAAATATGATGAAGGTTCTACGTATCCAATCAGTAACTGCGTATTTTAATAAACTGAGAATAAGCCAACTATCATTTTGGGTTTGTATCTATGTCCTTTATGAACAGAGAATCTTCTGCAAAATAAAAATGTCTCTAACTTTTTGCCACAAGTTTGACCTGAAACTGAACTATGCTTTTTCTACATCATAAACCATCTTGGCCATGAAAAAATCCTGTGGATTTTTATTTTCTTTAATTTATCATTGCAGGTACCTTTGTTGTGCAAGTTACCGCAACTGATGCCGATGATCCTACATATGGGAACAGTGCTAAAGTTGTCTACAGCATTCTCCAGGGACAACCATATTTCTCTGTTGAATCTGAGACAGGTCAGGGGACCTTATCTGTCATTCTGTGACAATGTCTGTAATTAAAAATGACATACTAAGCCAAGCTAGGACATATTAGACAAAAATTTCAAAGAGATTACATCTTAGTGCAAAATCTGACAAACTTAATAGAGTGATACATCTGTAAACATGACACCTACATTATTTTAATCTTACCAGCAAAGCCTAACAAATACAATTAGTACTGGATGAGAACCAGTTTTCAATCATTTTTAACAAGCAGTGGGTACAGAGACTGCGGTGGATGCTTAAATTAAACCAAATAGGTTGGCTTTTAGAAGAAAACGAGAAACAGGTGGGTGTGGAAAAAGTGCTTAATCCTCATAGATCTTCATAATGGCTAAATTAAGACTGAGGGTTTGTTCAGGTGGGTTTTTTTCTCCTCTGCTTCTTCGAAACTTGTTTAAAGTAATTATAATTTCTGTACATCTGCAACATATCATTTTAATGCTAATTTTATGAAAGAAATCTTAATTAAGAATAATGATAGAAGAGGTAAAATTGGTTGCTGCGCTACACTAGAAGATCACAAATAGAATCCGAAACTTCTGAGTTCTGTTTTTGGAAGACATTTAAATTACGCACAGTGACTGGAATTTTTTATGGGCTGAATAACAGACAGCTTTGGAACCTGTGCGTGTAAAACATAGGAATCCTGGCTGACTGAATTTGCTGTACCATTGACTGTCTGACTACACAGATAACCTCAAGATTTGTAACAAATTTCTCCAGCAAGAAAGAAAGGATCTCAAGAAACTCCTTAAATGGGAACATCCATTGTGATAGGTCCTGGAACCTAGAGAAATCGGTTCTCCTCAGCATCCTTACAGGAAAGGAATGGATTATCCCAGACAATTAATCAGGTTTTAGCATTGTTTCTTGAATAAATCTTAAAGACTCAGGCAGGGAAAAGGAGGGAGAGATTAGATGTCTCAAAATAAAACCTGAGGTGCAAAAACGTATGCGATTCAGAAAAGAAGGAGAGCCAAAATCAAAGGGAGCTTCCCTTCAAGCATAAGGTATTAGATACTGCAAGCAAGGATTTTTGCACTGATGCACTTATTCTGACTTGGACAGTACACCCTGTGCTCTTCTATCTAGAGTTATAATAAGCATAATGTAGCTGGGAGTTCACCAGTAATAATCTTTTAGCAAGAGGATTGTATGGGGCACAGAGGGGAAGCAAGGTAAACCACAGGCTTGATCTTCCTGCCATGGAAATCAATTGCAAAACTCTCAGAATGAAATAAGTCTCTGTCAAAGCTGCTGTGAATTTTGCCACGGATTTCAGTACTTGAATTTCACCCCTTCTGCCTACAAAGGAGTGAGATCTTAGCCTTAAGAGACCCAGTGAGAATGCAAACATTTTGCTTCATGGTAAATCTGAATGATTGAATTTCAATAGGAGTTGGCCTCATAACTGATATTTGTGCCTTTGAAGTGACTGGCTAAATCATTTTAATCAATGTATAAATAGAAATATATATACTCAGGCATGCTTGGATGCTCACAATTGTCTTAATTAATTTCTTTTCTCCCATTTAATGTTGTTGTATTGCCTCTTTAATGATGTCTTGCTGAAGTTAGCTTTTTTTTTTTTTTTACCACATCTGTCAAAATAAAAATATTGACAGAACAGGAGAGAAAAGATGGAACACTTTATTACAAGCAAAGAGCCTTTTTCCAGTTCAGTGAGAGACTTTAGCATGGAACTGAAAGGGAGTAAAAAGTTATGTAAAATAACACTGCTCACAAATAGGTAGAACATCTTTCTGGGGATGCCACTAATATTGTGTCTGTCACATAGGCAGCAGCCTGAGATACGATATGACAAGTCTGTAATTTAATGTGCCATCTCATAACAGTAAATATTTGTACTGGGCAAAGTTTACTTATTACACAGAGATTGTTTTGTTCTTCAGGCTGTGGGGTTTTTTAATAAGAATTTCCATCAAAGTCAGTACCTTACTTGTGAATTCCCCCTCTTTAATTCTCATGTTTTCAGGCATTATTAAAACTGCTTTGCTAAACATGGACCGTGAAAACAGGGAGCAATACCAAGTGGTCATCCAGGCTAAGGACATGGGAGGCCAGATGGGCGGATTATCAGGAACCACCACTGTGAACATCACATTGACTGACGTAAACGACAATCCACCTCGCTTCCCCCAGAGTATGGAATATTTACATTCTATGTCTTTACAGTAGAATGAATAAAAACTGGAATTTTTTTTTCACCTCAGATATTTTTTTCTGCTGTCATGAACTTACCAAGTATCAGATTTCCTTTAAAAAAAAAGGCAACACACAAGCAAGTAACAGATCGTGCTAATGTTAATTGCAAAAACTGTGAAACATATCTTTAGTATTTTTACTCCAATTGCAATAGACAGCCTGAGATGTAAATTAATGTACAGAAACATTATTTTTCCTACCCATTAAATAGCTCTGATTGATAAAATCTGTATTTCTTGATTATTTCTATTAGACCTTGTCGTTGACTGTGTTTTAAGATATCTGTTCTAATCTAAGATATTTAAGTTTTGAAACGTATTTATTTAAGTACATAAAATTATCCCAAGTGAAATTCTATCAAAATGAATACGTACACCCAGTAAGCATTTGCCTCAATGGATTTTCCTATATTCTTTGCATACAAAACCATAAGCACATATGTAAATATATCAGATATTTCTGCCTATTTTCTTTCTCCTGTCTCAGATCATTCGGTACATATCTGTGTGGTATTTAAGGGAATCACTTGAGCCAGATCTCTTGTAAAGTAATTTCTGTTAATGAACACTCATGGCCATAAGTGACTCAAAATTATTCAGCTTTCATCCACTTCACTTTCCCTCTCTTTCCTTCCTTCTCTCTTTCTTTGTCTTCTTCTTTCTTTCCCTCTCTCTTTTTCTTCTTTTTTGCTTTGTCTAACCACTGCTCTGCGTGTGATGTGTGTGTATCACAGTGTCAGTGTGTGTCAAAGTCAAGCACAGCTGTTAGAGAAAATAATTGCAGATACTATCAGACAAATCGGCAAGCTTTAGCGGTTAAGTCACTGGGAAAGTTATTGGAAGCAACTTGTCATTTAAGTTCAAAGTCTGTTCTTAGCTGTGGGCAAAGTGTTTCCATTTAAATTAGAGCAGCTTAAGAGAAAATACAGCACTCTGCCTCCAATGAATTAATTATACATCTCTGGACATAAGTGCCTTCGACGTAAAAGCCAAAGATACAGCTTCATAATGCCAACATTCCCCAAGTAGAGTTTTTTTCAGAGGAGAATTCAATGTAGCACATTATTAATAGGCATTTGGCTGGATTTGATTTTGGTGTTACTAAGTTGCATTGGCCTCTGGCAGTTCTTAATATTTGCCTTTTGGCCTCGAGACATTTTTCATATACAATTTTGATATGGCCAACAGAGACCCTGATACTCTCCAGAAAAGGATGTATGTTGCTAAAGGTACATGTATGTAGGAAAACAAAATGCCCATCTTTCATACTAGAAAATAGATAGAAAGGTAAGTTACTTTTATCCACATGAAAGTAAAGCAGAAGCTGAAGGCTGTTGCCCCAGGAAGGCCTGAAGACACAGCGACTCAGTAACTCATCTATGCATGCCCAGCATGGACAGATGGGCTGAGAGGTGGTGTCCAAAGTACCAGGAGCCCGACTGACAAAATTTCCTTCTCTGTCTGCTGTAGGCACCTACCAATTCAGAACTCCTGAGTCTACGCCACCTGACTCACCAGTTGGCAGGATAAAAGCTAACGATGCTGACGTGGATGAAAATGCAGAGATTGAATACAGCATCACTGAGGGGGATGGATATGACATGTTTGGAATTACCACAGACAAGGACACACAGGAAGGAATTATAACTGTCAAAAAGGTACACATCTTAACACACTGAATCCCAGCCTCTGAAATACCAGTCAAAACTTTATCTAGCACATATTTGTTTTCCATTTTTAGTGTAACACATGTTGTTTATTAATTTGAATGCTATCTATTAGGAATCTCTAAATTACCTACTTAAAGTTTCTTTTATATAAGCAATTGGGTTTCTTCCTCTAATACCCTCCTTTACTAAACCAATGCACATACTTTGAAGAACCTGAGAGAGTAAATAACCTAGGGAGTGGGATACGACAAAAAAAAAAAATAATAATTCTGCAGTCTGAACATATCCACGGAATAAATCAAGGAGGCACCACCATCCAACTGTGATTTCCTCCCTATGACCCTTACAGGATATGCTCACTTACTAGAAGGTGCCATGTTAAGACCACAAAAATAATCAGTAACAGGTTGCCTGTTTTGCGCCATCTGAAGGTGTTGAACTATATAGCTATATAATATATTAGATAGACAAATTTCTTTTGACTCACATTTTGTAAAAATATAATTAATAAATCCATCATCATGCTTTTGCTTTAGAAACAGCATCACAGTGCCTTGCTGGATCACAATGGACATCATCTACTAGGTTGCACATTGGCTGTCAGAAAAGGTTTGAGAAATATTGTTTGCAGTGGGTTATCAGGCAGGCTTGATAAGGTTACAGATATCATCCTCCATCAGTTCAAGTTCAGTCATCACTAGATAGACATTGTGTAGATTTTCCGAACATGCACTTGCTTGTTGATATCAGTACGACACCTGTCATTACTTGTTTTTTAGGAGATGCCTTCCAGGGGCTGATTATGATATCAGTCTAACTCTGTTTGCATTTCTGTCTGTTGCTGACAGAAGCTGTGAATCTTCTACAACATAATGGAAAAACGGGGTGACTACCCTCTCCCCACATTTCTCTAAGTACTGTAACAGAGTCGCTAAATGCTGCTCCTTCATACTTTTAACAGAGTGTGATATAGTCATAGCCTATCATAAATCATGTTTTCCTTGACGAGTGGTCCTGGATGTCCAGACACTAGATGCCACAGTGTTTTGTTTCAGCGATAGAATGCCAATATTTAAACAAGCAGCAACTAGAGAATCTTCCCCCCTTTAGTGTGTGGTGCCTAGGGGAAAGGAGTAGACAAGAAAACATCAAAATGCCAAAAATGACAAAATAAAAAGCATGAAGAGTTAAGAATATTTAAGAAGGAAAGATTAATTCATGTTTAGGAGTTTCAGGCATAGAATGCCTTGAAAAAGTGGGTTTTTTCTATACCATATCATCAGTAACATAGAGCCCTGTCTTTTTCCTTTCTGCTGGCTTTTTAATTTCAGTTCAGTTTCCTGTTATCTAGCCCTGGCCTTTCTGTGACATCCCTCCCGTCATTTGGCTCATCTGGCTGAAAGCCCCAGCAAATCCCCACAGACCTCTCAAACTTTTTTTTTCCTCTTCCAAGGCACTGGATTTTGAAAACAAAAACCTGTATATTCTGAAAGTCGAAGCTACCAATACTCATGTGGACCCTCGATTCCTCTACCTGGGGCCATTCAAGGACTCAGCTACAGTTAGAATTCAGGTGGAGGATGTAGATGAACCCCCCGTGTTCAGCAGACCAGCATACATAATGGAAGTGAAAGAAGATGTTCCAATAAACAGTGTGATAGGAACAGTAACTGCTCAGGATCCAGATGCTGCCAAGAACCCGGTCAAGTAAGCATAGACTATTTCAGCTTGTGTGTAAATTTTTTACAGCTTTAATTTTGCTTTTCTCACGTCAGCACACGCAAAAAAAAAATCACTTTTAACAATGAAATTGTTCGGGTATGCTCAAATATGGAATACTGTAGATGGTAAATGATCACTCACACTTGAGCATATCTAGGTATGTGTGATTGTGTTTGCATGGCCCTTGCATCTTGAATTACATCCTATCCTTTTCAGTAACTAATGTTTGTGGGTTTTTCTACCATGGAAGAATTTACTGCAAAAAAGAGCACTAAGAAGACGTTAGTGTTCTCCTTCCACCGTTAACATTTTCCAGTGCAGTGTGGTACATCCCCTTGGCTATATGACACGAGAGTGATTCAGCAGCCTTTTCTTCTCCCATCCGTCCAGACCTGCTTAACAGAGGTCACATTTACCTTCTCTAAGCTGCAAGTAGAAACACCTTAAAAGCAGCTCATGTGCACAGACAGACTCTGATCTCACTTGTATCAGTGCAAGGTTAGTAAGATAAGAATCGGTCTCATGAACTTCATAAATTACATTTGCCATGAATCAATAAACTAGCCTTACAGGAAGTGGAGGAAATGTTAAGGTTGGCATAGCTAAACCTAAGCCTTCATTTTTTGTAAATTAACAGGTACATTATTTCAGTACATTTGAAAATATACTGGAGCACTTAAGTCATATTGGATAGAGTACAAAAGAACTTTTAAATGGTTGTGTGTTTTAATTAAATTTGATTGCTACTGACAAGGTAGTAAGAGGAGGAAATGAAAAATATAGCAATATTAAATCCAGGTCAATTTTCAGCATGTCTCTGGGTTGGGCACCTTGGAAATGCAATAGTAGTTTTAAGATCAAAATAGAACAATGCAGGTTTAATAAAAATCCAATCCACCAATACTTTGCACTTCTGCAAACAACTATCTTTCATCAAGATATCTTACAATGTTTATGAGGCATGAGTGAGTTTTAAGCTCTCAGCTCATCTTGTGAGAGGGGTAAATATTATCATCTTAATTTCCTAGATGAAGAAACCAAATCTGAAATATTTCTGGCAGAAACCCTCTCTGTCTTCAGTTTGCATGCAATGCCCTACACATCAATTCTAATTCAAGACTAAGCCTTCTAATTTTAATTAAGGTTTGCTTTTATTTACATCATGGCATGCAACAATTATATAGAGTGCTGGACTAGCAGAGCATAGTAACTTAAAGAGCAACATGTTTTGCTGACTTTGGTGAAGCCCAGGGACAGAATGAACACCTTCTATAACATGTCGTCGTGGCAATGCTAGCATGAAGATGAAAAGTTGGTTGGGGTGACACCCAGGCCCCTTGCAGTCTTCATAGGAACCTGCTTTTTTATATCTAATGGCGCTGGAGAGTGAGGGGAGTGCTTCCCTGCTTCCCTCTGCTTCCCCGTGGCGATAACTACAACCATTTGCATTTCACGCCAGCACCAGCTCCTAATTATAAGTGATTTACAGTAGAGAGGGATTATGCTGTTCGTTGTTGAGTACTGCCTACTGGCTCTTTTCTATTAATTGAATGTGTGTGCTAAAACTTACCTATCTTTCAAAGGTCAGTTCTTTAATACAGTGTAGGTACTTTGTGTAGTAAAGTATCAGATAATTATTGAGCAAAATTTAGCAGAGGTGTCAAAATTGATGCAGTGCCACAGAAAACTTGTCTCCTTTATACTCTAATGGCATGCAACAATCAAGGTGAAAGAAGAAAAAGAGAAATGAGGAAGAGGTTAGAGGAATAGAAATGAACACAGCAAAAAGAAACATGAAAATCAGTAAGAGGGTAAGGAAATCAGCAGAGAGCAGTAGACTGAGATGTTGGCTTGCAATAAATGTAATTTTATGGTGCTAATATCTTGGGTTTCTCATAGAATTTAGGGGCATGGGTTGAGTCTGCATCTTTTTGACAGGGTGATTTTTTTTTTTTCCATCATGCAATAGAGATGCTAAATCCGATTTTCACTCTGAGCTTCAGGGAAGATGCAATTAGACTGTATATATACGACTTGTCACTTGCTTGTCAATTTTTCTTGACGGTTAGACATAAAATCTTTAGACACTTGATATTACAATGAAAACCTTCCATTTTCTCCTCTACTCGAGTGAAGATTTCTCTTTTTAAACAAACTGAGCCCTAACTCTGTTAGATGAAAGCCCCTTTGATCTTCCATTAAAGGAAACCTTCACAATATCATTATGAAAATGCATTATGAAAAATTCACACACACATCCCTTCCTGACCCACAAATCTTCCTGACTTGCGGTTGCATTAGACACCAAGCTGCTGAACGTCAGAAGACAATGAAGCAATAGCAAAATATGAAGCAGATATCTGCCCTGGTTGCAAGAGCGCATAATCATTCATGACCTGTGTATTGGTAGAGCTACATTTCATCAGTCCAGCCCATATAAATAAGCTTTGCTGCGATGTGGCATTAAGAAAGTACAAAAATACACCCATAGATATTTGTCTATATTTGAATATGCATCCAGGCGTAGTGACATTAATATACTCCTGAGTAACAGTCCACTGTCCAGCTGTGTTATAAAACAAAGTTGTGCATTCTGCTTGTGTTTGATCTAAACAGAAATATTATGAACCGCTGCATACTGAAAAAAAAATCATGCTGCAACTGGCACTGCTGTATTGTACATCAGATCTTTTTAAATTGCTAGTTGAGTTTTTTTGCTATAGTAACTCCTCAGAGGCATAATGAAGTTCATCAGTCACTGGAACTGTCTCCCTGCTGTGATTTGATTTACTAAAGTATCCCAGATGAAAATGATCTGCAAACAAATGTAAGGCTTAATTTTGTTTGTGTATTTTACTGACAACATATTTGCATGTGTTAGATTCTCTCTTTCACCCTCCCCTTCTTCCTGTTATGTACAAGGAGAGACTGGAATCTACGTAGATACCTTTTAACTTCCTAGCTTGTCAATTCCGCAAGGTTTGAAAGGGATGAAGTCCTGAAATCTGACAAATACACACCAGTAATTTCATTAAATAAATGTAAAAATGAGTTTGATGGTGTCTGCTTAATTCTTACTAGGTTATGATCCATAAGTCAGAATCACCACCAATTCCACATAATTAACAGTCCTTGATCAAAAGAGACTGGATTATACAAACTGAGAAGCAGAAGTGACAGTCTAGCTTATTAAAATCGCTCTCCTAGACCAGGGTTAATGGCATAATTAGAATATTCTTTAACTGCATTGACCTTGTATGTATTTTCTTTTGGCTATGAAAAAATAAAATTAACATTTCATTAAGAAGCCGTTCTCTGGTTGGTTTATTTTGTTGTTTTGGGGTTTTTTTCCGTGAGTTTAATTTTCCACTCTGCCAATGACTGAATATACCTTTGATTTTACAAGGACTTGTATTTTAAAATTCTTAATATCTTAAAGAAGAAGTCCTCAATGTTACAGCTCTGGTAACCTTAGAAAAAGTCCAGAACAATTTTTTTTTGTTCATTTCTTCCAGATAGTGTACCAGAGATTGAATTTGTGAAATCTTACAAAGTAAAGATAGCGATTACAATATGCCAAGGCATTAAAATGTGCTAAGGCAGCAAGATATTTTAAGTCCATTCTCAATGTGAAGCATGAGTGAAAGCATAATTGAAGAAAGAAAAACAACGAGTGGACAACTGATGCCTAAAGCTCATTCCTTGCTTAAATATCTTGCTGAATAGGAGCCTGAAACATACTATTACAGTTGGCTGGAACAGCTAATCTGTGGAAAATCCTGATATTTAATTTCAAATAGGAATGCAAAACCTAGATTTATTGCAAAATGGAAATACCAAAGTATTTCAGCTGAAAGATATGGAAATGAGCTACAGAGTATCTGAAAAATAATTGAATTCACAAAATACCAACATAATATCATATAAAAGCCTGAATGAATGAAACTTAAAATGAAATGTTTACCATATCAAATACCCACTTTGTCAAAATAGAAGAGAGCCAGACTGGTTTGTATAAACTTGTTTCCATCAAACATTTCAGCTAAGTCAACAAATTCACTTGTACTGTTTTCAATTTGGACAAAACAGCAGAGCTTGCTGGAGCTGTCCCACCCGTCAACACCGTGTGTTACACACCTTCCCAAGTACGTTTTTCAAACTGAAGGTAACATTACAATGCGGCACAAAGGAACTAGGTTAGTGACACCACGGCTGACTTCATGCAGCTGAAATTGCCGTACTGGTAGTGCAGTGACAGCAACGAAGAAAATCTAAATCGACTCCTGAAAAACTAGCAAGGTAGTGCCTATGCAAGTCCTACCAAAAGAAGTCAGCTCTTTGTGCAAGTACGTCTGAATCTCACTTGGTTGTTTCCATAGGAATTTAATGTGGGAAAAGGAAAATGTCTTAGTGCAAATAATTAATACTTGCTATAGTTGTGTTTAGGAAGGTAGGCTACACTAAAATTCTCATTTTAGAGTAAGACCAGTCTAATTTGCTGTGAATATTATATCCCATTTTTTTTACCTGCAAAGAAGGAAAAAAAATGCAGTTACAAGATAATTAGCAACTTAGTTCACTTTAAACCTTTGTCAGAATCACATGTTTCAACTGGACTCTTCTATTCCCTCCTTCTTCCATGTGAGGTCTTTCTCAGCAGCTGAGAGATGCTGCACAGGCGCTGGGAAATCTGCACAGAATAAGGGACATGTCGTGCAGCTACTCCTTGGGCAGAACAGGGAACAGAAATTTTTCTTCAGCCTCTACATTTCCCTCAGTTCTGTAGTGGCAGTAGACTCTGCCAGTCACCCTCCTGCCCCAGTTTTCATCTGACTGCATACCAGCTCAGCCATATCTTTATCCTTGTCTGGACACAAGGGACAGCTGGAGATGCCTTGTCCCCATGAACATGGCCTGTAAGGAGACCAAGGGAGCACACTGGGCTTCCTAAGGCTCTGTCCCGCATTGTACAGCAGCACACATTTGGGCTTGGAACAAGAGCAGAATAATACAATTGCATTCTTGCTTTAGCAACATCAGAGACATATTTCCATCAAAACCTCTGTAATTTATGCAATAATTTTCTCTACATGAGCGATGAAACCAAGTCACAGCATTTGGATCAGGGTGGTAGCACCCTCTCCCGCAAAACAGAGTTCCACTTTTAAAGTTGGATTCAGTTCAGCAGAAAAAGCAGAAGATCAGATTGAAAATTTGAATTCACATTTAGACTCTGAGATCTTCCAGAGCTTGTTAGCATTCGTTTTCACATCTAGCTACCATCAAGCAGGGCTGAGCACATTAGTTTTAATGAATTACAGCAAACTTTTAGGTGATATGTACTATGGAATAATGAATCTCTGTTCCATGCTGACTTGTTTTTGGGGGGCAGTCTTTTTAAACGCTGGGAAGTGAAAGGCAGAAATGCACCCCCGCTATCAAATTTTATATCAGAAATTATTTGGAACAGTTGAGATATCAAACCATAAAAAGAGGGGTTTATAATGGGAAAGCCAACTCAGCCTTAAAATAAACTTCATATCTTTCAGGACACAGACTTCACATTTCTCACAAAAAACAAAGCTTTGATGATTCTCAGAGGTATGTAAATTCTGCAGTAATTCATTTATTCAGTGACAATGCTCCACCTTCTAAATCAAATGTGTCATTATCCAGTAACTCAGAACTAGCTCTTTGTGTGAGTATAGAAAGACTCTGAAGCCTGCACTGAAAACAAAAGGCAACCCCATTTACGAGCTGTTTGATGTCTAGTCTTAGAAAATGGTTTAAGAACATAGAAATTAAAAGGAAAGCATTCTCCTAACCCCTGTCTCTGTATTTGCAGGTACTCTGTAGATCGACACACTGATATGGACAGAGTATTCAACATCAATTCAGGAAATGGTTCGATATTTACTTCAAAACCCCTTGACCGGGAAACACTGCTGTGGCACAACATTACAGTAATAGCAGCAGAGATCAGTAAGTCAAACCTAAATACCACTGCTGTCCCTGATGTAATGAATTTAGCCTTCTAGCTGAGCGTGTGAAAATCACGGCTGGGCAGATGTCGGGTTATATGGATAGTCCACTCAATACTAATGAAGGAGAGGAAACTCTGCAAGAGGTAGTCTGCTGTTTTGTGTTTACTAGGGACACAGTTCATGAAGAGGTTATTTAGCTGAGCAGGGAGGAAAGGTAACAGTTCTGTGTTTCCTAATCAGGAATAGCCTTTTTTAATTTTGAACATGATTGCTGAATCCTGAAATTGGCATGCAGCAAGCAAGATGGTTTAAAGCCAAACTGCATTCCATGGCTGAATTTGGTCTGATCCAGACTGAATACAGCACAGGCTTGGTGTTTTCAGGTAAGACTAAGGTGGCTGGGCTGAGCTAGATGCCCAGATCTTAATCAGTTTTAAGGATTTCCATTTTTAACTTCTTTCACGTCATTTGAAATGATGAGCTATTTTTACAAATCAGTCTGTCACGTCATTTAGGATTGCTCAAAAGAAGTAAACTTGTGATAACACTAGTCATGTGGATTTTAGGAGTGGAAATGCCAGGGATCTAGATAAAGATGTGTATGCTAGGTGGTCTTAAGAAACAATCCTCTTTATTTTGATGTATTAACTATAAGCATGTGACATGCTTAAGTATCAGGGAATGCAATGCTGTTCACCTTTGCAGAGTCACAGTGCCTATGATTGTGAAGCATGGTGGAATGGTAGATAGATCCAATATAAACACCACTTCTATGACTGTCACAATTTCTCTGTGCAACTCAGAGGCTAAATGGCTTTTTTTGTTTTTTAAAACATAATCTGAGACAATATAAGCCCTACTTTCTTATGTTGTGTATATGTGATTATTGCTCTATCAGCCGCTGAACAGTAACAAGACCATAACTAAGGAGTGCTTGACTCCAGCTTTATTTATTCTGTAGGTCTTTTTAAAACTCAAAACTGATGTGAAAAAATACTACTGAGGCAAGCAGATGGGGTTCTTTAAAAGTGTAGTGGGTTAGAGCCTGCAGGAATTATGTTTCTTAATAGCTTTCTCCCTCTCTTGGAAGTTTGCACTTTTAATGCTAGGTATGTGGTTTCAGCATACCAAGCGCTGACTTCTGGCTGACTGTTAGTCAGGTGTTTGTGTTTCTATTAAGTCTTTGAAGGAGTAATCTAGGGTCAAGAGTTGTACACTACAGACTGAGCTCCTGGGTAGAGGAGGAGGGGAAAAATAAACACCTAAAAAGGAAAGAATAGCAAGAACATTTAGGAAGCACACTTGCATTGATCCCAGCGGAGCTGAAATAGTATACAGCATAGAAAATTGTATACCATCTGAAAATCAATGTAGCTTCTATATGAAATACTCATTTAGTTCCTCGCCTCCTTCCCTAAGGGCAGACCTACTACTGGGCCAAACCCTCTCAACTAAACCTTTTGTGTCTGACACAGGTTTCTGTCTTAATTACCATTCCTCTTTAGTCTGAGTCCTTCCCGGCTGCAACAATCTACTTTCCAGGCTGTGCTTCACTGAGCCTAGACCAAATTTGGCATAAGTGGGGTAGATGCCTTCCAAAGGCAATTTTCTTGGTTGAAATGCAGCTACTGTTTAAGCAAGCTGTGGTCTGATCCAGGCTACCTCCCTAATTTTAGTCTCAAGAGACTAGACTGGAAAGCACCACTGCTTAATGGTCCTAGCTAAAACCAGTAATTTCTAGCAAGGCTAGCTAAAGTGCCATTCCACTAAATTCCAGCTAGTCGCTGATTGCCCTCAGTGACATACCATGACATCAGACTCCAGATATCTTTCACTGAAGTAATCTAAAAGAAATATCCAGTCAAGTTATAGGCAGGATGCACATTCAGGTGAGTGTGCTCCCTTTGAGACAGAAAAAGAAAAAAAAAATAAAAATGTTAAAGCCATAAAGAGAATCACCCTTCAGTGTTGACTGTTCCTGATTTCATTTTACAGAAGAAAAAAAAAAAGAAAATATGGAAGTTGCTCTGCCTTTAATTGTCTAGAATTGTCAGCAAATGTAGACACCTCAATTTTTTAATGTTGTTCTTTTTCACCATTTGGACCTGCAGTTGCTCAGCAGCCCAAAGAATCATGCTGTGAATGTTGCAAACAAATAGTTGGTAAAACACTGGGTCAGTACATCTGCCACAGTCAGCAGGCAAACTGGCAATAAAACTCACTACACAGGGCTACTGATTCACAGCTGCAGAATTACAGCTGAGAGAATTCCCAGAGTATTTTTGAATATTCTTTACTTAACATTTAAGTGTAAATCAAACAGAGGCAGGACTTTGAGGCTGTATTCAGAAAAAAAGCTTTAACAATTTGGTTGCTGGCTCAACAGAAAACATACCACTGTAGCGATTAATAGATTTAAGCAGTTCGTTGAGTTTGTAGGGATCTTTTTTTGGAGATGGAGTCCGGCAGTAATGAAAGGATTATGCACACAAATTATCCTGCATGGATTAATTTGCAAAAATAATCTGAAAGATGACAAAAAAGAAGACTTAAAGATGTACACATATATTTCAACTCACATTTCCATTAAATCAGAAAAAAGGCCCATGTCCATAGAGCATAGAGGTTTTATGAAGCTTCTGTTTATTACGGTATCATTTTAAATTCTGAGAAACTTAAGCACCTAGCAATAAAAAGAAAATATCTAGTTCATGGTTCAAAAAGCAGCAAAGAAAACAATTGTAATTCTTGAGAGGAGAACAAACACATTTGCCGATATATTTGAATGTATTTGTTGGAAAGGTATGCCCTTACAGAATAGTCTTGCCAACAGTCATGCGACTTCAAATGAGTACCTTGGATTTCTGCCTATTATAAAATTCAGCATTTGTACTGATGTATTTTAACATACAATTCAGCCTAGCCTATATTATATGTAAACTGTTATTTTATACATTGAATGAATTTAGCCCAATGGTTCATATTAGAAAGTGGTTTATGCTTAATGGAATCATATTAACTTCAATGGGACTGTGGAGCTTTAAAGCACAATATTTTGTCCAAATGACTGAGCTCTGTAATACAAATATACAGTGCCAATTTTGGAGAAGGCATTTTCAAATTTATAAAAGTATGATAAACACAGTAATAGGACTTTTATTAAAGCCTAACTCAACAAGCTGCTATAATGAATGCTTGTAGAAGCATACAGAATCTTAGATCTGCTGTATTTTATTGCACTATTTTTTTCACTTGACTCATAGGTTAAAATGCATTAATAAACTATACTAACATGGGTAGGAAATTAATGTAGCAAAACTCAGTCAGAGCCCTCATGAAAGGGGGGGGGGGAAGGTATTTATTTTAAATGAAACACTAATTTCAACCATCAAACACTTTCTCTCATAGATGTCACTCTCTTCACATTCCCACACCCACATACTCCCAGGCACTGTGGTGGGTATGCCTGGGTCACCTGGCCTAGATCATTTTTTGTGTGATATGGAGCACAAAGGACACAGATCGAGTCCTGGCCGTGTCTCCTGGTTTCCTTTTGATTGGTGACGACAAATTGGTTTGGGGGCAAGTCTTGTACCCTTTAGGAGGTGATGGTTGTTATGACATGACATTTTTACCTCACAATCTTGCCTATTTCACCATTCATGGCTCCTAGGTGAGGTTGCTGCCTGTTGCCTTTCCTCCTTATTTTGTGTATCTTCGTGACTAAAACCTGTCTCCCCTCAACAGGAAAATCAGTAGTCTACACAATGTGGTGCGTTTCCAAATGTTTTCATTTTTATCTAGAAAGATGACAGTATCTTCATCAGTATTTTATGCTCAGGAATATCGTTGTCAAATTTGTTCTCTTGACACTATACCGTCCTCATAGGGAAAAAAACATGTTTAGATATGGGGAACTGCAGATTCTATAGAGTGCTTATGTTCTTCAGCTGATACTTTTTGGTGTTAACTCACCAAACTCAGCCAAATCAATTCACAACAGATTAGAAAATATCTGTGATCACAGCCACAGTTACTAATTATATAACATAATGGTAATCACTGAAGCTTAAGGAACTGTGTCACGAGATTTGTAGGGGACAGAATATTATATATAACAGGTCGAGAGGAAAAAAAGCACGCAATCCCATCTTCATGACTCTTCAGTCTTCCTGTTTCAGAGTTAAGGAAGGGAATACATTCTAGAAACCTTGTTGCCACCAAACTGTATTGGTTAGGTTAATAAATAGATTTCATTTAATTCCAGTATTATATTTGTACACATATATATATATATGTCTCACACATACTTTCATAATTGTACTTGGAGCATTCAAAGGAATTTGTAAATCCTGGACTCTTACCCAATCTTATCTGTATAGCTTACACAGAATAAGAGTAATGGTAACACAGCACAATTTTGTGGAATTCACCCCATAACGCGTTCCCCAGAAATCAACAGAATGTATGCAGAGCGTTGTGAGTGAGAAGAACTAAGGCAATGAGCCCCTAAGTCTGTCCTTTTCTTCTCCTGCACTGAGTCAGTAGCTGGGCTAAATAAAATCTCTATTCTGTCTGGTTTTATCATTTCAGACAACCCAAAACAAAGCAGCCGCGTCCCAGTGTTCATTAAGGTTTTGGATGTAAATGACAATGCTCCAGAGTTTGCCATGTTTTATGAGACCTTCGTCTGTGAAAATGCAAAGGCAGAACAGGTGTGTTGTCTGTTTGTACTAAGAAAATATTCCAAATTAATTGAGTTTTGCTATTACTCTTGCATCACCTAGTCAAGAGGTATACTTTGCATTGCATCAAGCTGTCAGTTTTGCAAAATTAAACTAAACAGTGGCTGCACAGTATCTGATTGCACTTAGTATTCTTGCAGCTAATGTGACAGTATGTTTTACACTGTTGTTTTCTGTACTGCACCTTGTTATCCCTGATTCATTTTCATTCTGTGATTCTCTGCTTTATTCAGGCACCTCCACTGTCTCCTTCAAAAACAGTTTCAGGTCTGTAACTGCTACAGGTCCTGTCTGTGATATAATTATATTTCCTGCCAGATAACTCTCGCTCTACCAGTCCTATTACTAAATGGGTCAAAGTAGCAGATAATTCAGAAGATTCAGCCAAACAATTCCCGTGACATGAGATTTGGGTAGATACACAGTCAGTTTGGACTGTCTCACCTTTCATCTCTATTACTTGCCACATGCAAAGGTTTCCTACCCATCTGGAGCGGCATCAACCCAAGCCTGCTCTTGAATTCGACATGATTTTCCTGCCAACTTTCAAATTCATCATATTACTGGCTGACGGTATGGGATACAATAGGATGGTGTTCCTAAACAGCATCAGCAGCACATGGAGCACTTTTCTCAAGCTCACCATAGCAGCATCAGCTGCCTTAAAGCAGAAGAAAAAAATTAATACAATAAGATGGTTTTACAATTGTAGAGTACAGAAATAAACATGAGGTCCGCTGACTTTGAAGATAATTTTGTTCTTGTTGTTTCAGCTGATACAAACATTAAGTGCTGTTGATAAAGATGACTCTTACAGTGGACATCAGTTTTCATTCTCCTTAGCTCCCGAGGCAGCCAGCAGCTCAAACTTTACACTACAGGACAACAGAGGTGAATTTACAGAAAGACTTTTCTTTAATATCTCATCCTTGCTTTCAGTCTTCAGGTAAAGATCTAATGCATGCTTTGTGTTTCCAGACAACACAGCAGGGATTTTCACCCGAAAAACCAGATATAACCGGCATGAAATGAGTACCTACTTCTTGCCGGTGGTAATATCAGACAATGACTACCCTATCCAGAGCAGCACTGAAACGGTGACTATTCGAGTATGTGCTTGTGACCATCGAGGAAAGATGCTGTCCTGTAATGCCGAAGCCTTGATTCATCCTACTGGTCTTAGCACTGGGGCTCTTATTGCCATCCTTCTCTGTATCATTATATTACTTGGTAAGTAGCTCAGAGGCATTTTGTTCCTTTCGTGGTTATTTTGCATTGCTACGAGTGATTATGCCAAGGCTAGGACAAGAGCAAAGCAAAGGCATCCTTGCCTTATCCTACATTTGAATTACTGTATTTCCCCCTCTAAGGGCTGCTACAGATATGGTGTATAGAACATATCCTATCTAATCTCAGTTATCTAGAAGTTAGCAATGTCCAGGCAAGAGGAGACAGCTGTGTTCCACCCTCTGATCAATGGAAAGAGACAGACACCTGTAGAAAAACATTCATCCCATCCCCTTATTGGTATCTGAAGTAGACCAGACTAATCACCCTCTGCAGGTGTCCGTCTCTTTCTGTTGACCACAGAAGGAGGCCAGATAACTTTTAGTTTTAAACAATTAACTTCCCGTGTCTAAACTGAGGAGAAACAAGTCTCAGTGTTTCTGTTCTGCTGGAAAAGGATGCTGAAATGGGATGGCTACTGAAGCACTCTCTCAAAAGCTGCAGGGTCCTCCCATTCAGGCACCTGCGAGTACAAAGAGGTTGGATCCTGAGTGTGGAGGACGTACAGATCTTTGGTTACAGCACTTACAGGTGGTCAACATTCATTTTTGTATAAAAATCAGGACAGTTTTCAACATCTTTCACCTTCCTTTCACTCACGTTCCGCCTCTCTTGTACAGCAGAGACTATTGTCCCTCCAGCCATTAGCCATAGTCTATTCATCTGAGAGAACTGCACAATACAACACAGGCAGTTCTCAGGGAGACCTTATTAGTCACCTTTAGTATCTGGCCAGGAAAGAAGGGAGTCAGACCAATTTTACAGCAGTAGAGTCAAGCAGGGGAGAAAACGTTTCCTCAGTGATTCCCCTTGTTTCAGCCCTACTCATATCTTCCTTGGACATGCTCATCACCACTGCAGAATCATCCTGATCTTTGCTATTAACATAATTTCCTTCTCCAGTGATGAGCCACAGACCATGTTGTGATTCTCAGACGTTAACAATATGGTCATGGCTTGCCCAAGTAAGCATTAACCCATTTTCAGAAAAGATTCCCACAATAACAATTTTACCTTTAATTTGCCATTAAATTCATTTTTTCAAAATACGGTATCATTGCCTCTAAGAGCTGAGATCACTTTGTATCAAGTTCCTTACCAGAAAAAGAAATCTAATGCTGCAGGTAGTCTTGCACTCATTAGTACAACTGTGCTCATTAATATCAATCTGACATTAAACGATTTCCTGTTTTATGTCAATCGAAAATAATTGATTCTGTGTGCTAAGCAGCACTTTATGTCAATTACTGCTCACGCCACCGTGCACCATAAGCAGATTTTCAATTAACTCAGCTATATAATTTTCTATTTTCAGGGGGGTTGCAGGGTTTGCATGTGCAACCACTACTGAGTGAAAAACAATACTCTGGGCAGACCTGAACCACAACTTAAAGTTTAGCAGCAACAAAAAGTGCCTGTAAATTTCTAGGTTTATTTGCAGTTTGAATAAGTCTAGCAGCTTATCAGGAGGCCTCAGACGCTGCTGAACACTGACATGCAAATAAAGGTGATGTACTTTAACATGTAACTTCTAATGGTTTTTTTTTTTTTGCCTGCAAGTTCAGCACAAAATAAGAAAACCCAAGTATCAGTGATGTGACATAATTATCAAAGTCTCATCCTTGCTTATTCTGTGTAACACCTTTTTTGTTAATGAGATACTTCAGCAACACTTTGTGTAAAAACTATCATTCCTGTGCTTTCTCAGGACGTTCTACCAGTCACTATTCTGGAAGCCCATTAAAAATTGACACCGTGTTTTTCAGGTTCTCCAAAATTTTCTCCAGCTATCTCTGTTCTGTCACATAGACCTTTCTCCAATCCTCCCATATGGTGTCACAGTTTTATGCTCTTAAGGAGGAGAATTCTCTTTTACTGCATTTTTGCACAGCAGCACAAAGAAACATCACTCAGATTAGGACCCTTACATGACACCATAAGTAAATCTTCACCATTAGGGTGAGAGCCTGAAGCTTTCACCGTCTGAACCAGTCCTCCTCATTCCTTCAGTTTCATCACCTCACTTATATTCTTTCAACTCATATTAGCAGATGTTCTTTCTCCCTTACTCTATTCCTATGGTAAAGACACAATAGGAATCAGATATTTTTCCTACTTTATCCTATCTTCTTGGGATCCCTCTCTAGTCAACGGAGAGAAAGAGTATGAGACTCTTCCACAATATGCTTGAGCACACCCACAGATAGATTCTTGCTCCAGCAATCCTGCAGGGGAGTCCATAAAAATAAATAAAAAAATCAGAAAAATCAGCTTTTTGTCTGTTGAAGAAAGCTAAAAAAGACAAGTGTCAATGGGCTAAAATTTTGTTTTGGGGATGTTCTTAGTCCTTGGCATTGCCCTTCACAGGGCTACAAATGAGGAACGGACTGAAAAAAAAAAAAAAAAAATAGTCTTTAACAGTTACTGTGCGTTGGCTCCCCCTTTTAGAAACAGCTGACACGAAAGATAATTTTGAACCACCTTATCATATCAATGAGTTTAGGCATTTTCTGATTTGCTTTGCTTTGTTATGAAAGAACTATAAAGAAAGCAAGATGCGCCTTTTCTCAGAGTTTGCACAGCAGAGCTGAAATACTGGGTACCCTGGACCTCAGACTACGAAAGCAACAGTTGTAGTTGTAACACATCCCGGCTCTTTGCTGCTGTTCATTTGTAAATATTCAGTCATTTACCATGTTAAGGTAGAATCCAGCTAAGAAATCTGAAATTAACTTTGAAAGGAAATAAGGTATTGAACATATCCCCTCCCTCCCCCTGTGCCCACTTCTCCAACAGTACTGGGGGTCATTATTGAGTAAAAATATTTACATTTGTATCGGGGCCTTGGAAAGAGTTCCTGCCCTCCAAATAAATGAAATACACACACATACACACACACACACTTTAGAATGAAAGGCATAAAATTTTCTGTTTGAGAAATCTCATGCCTTTGGCAGATTAAATAATACCATTACCATATCTAATCAGTCTAAGATTTAAGCCATACAGTTTTTTTAAGGTGATGTATATTGTAAAAACCTTTCAGGGAAGTTAATAAAACTTGGACTTTGTGCTGGCTGAAAATCCACTCCATGCTCCAAGCTTTTTTCCAGAGGAGGATAGATTTACTTATCTTGAAATGCAGCTTTGCTAACCTATCATCATAGCCCAGTACATACGGGCCTTGCCCACCGCACAAGTCGCATCTCATCCCAGGGGTTCAAGGTAAATAACACTTGACGTTACTTATTTTGGAGAAAGTGTTTCTCCCTTCCCAGCTCTCGTGAAACTAGTTCTGTTCTCAAGGCAACAAAATTGCTATACAACTCTGGGTAAAAATGTGTCTACTGACACAAAGACTGGCTTCTTACAAGCCTGAAGTCTCCTTTCTTCTCGCGCACACCCGTGGCATTTCGTCTTCCAAGGCGCTCACAGGCAGAGCAAGCAGAGTCTGAAAACCTGACATGCACATCTGCAGTTCTGCAAAACATCTTTCAAAACTCTGAATTCGAGCAGAGGCACGGCGTTTCTTCTGGGTTTTAATGGAGTTAGGGATTAACCTTTCCCTTTCTCTTACCCTGTTATTTTTGTTTCCAGTTACGGTGGTGCTGTTTGCAGCGCTGAGACGGCAGCGGAAAAAAGAGCCTTTGATTATTTCCAAAGAAGACATCAGAGACAACATTGTCAGTTACAACGATGAAGGCGGCGGAGAAGAAGACACCCAGGCATTTGATATCGGCACGCTGAGGAATCCCGAAGCCATAGATGATAATAAATTACGCAGAGACATTGTGCCAGAAACACTTTTTATGCCACGGCGGACTGCAGCGGCGCGAGATAACACGGATGTCAGAGATTTCATTAACCAAAGGTTAAAGGAAAATGATACAGACCCGACGGCACCCCCGTATGACTCGTTAGCAACCTACGCGTACGAAGGTAACGGTTCTGTGGCCGAGTCCCTCAGCTCCTTGGAGTCGGTGACTACGGACGGAGATCAGGACTACGATTATCTCAGTGACTGGGGGCCTCGGTTTAAAAAGCTCGCAGATATGTATGGCACGATGGACAGTGACAGAGACTCTTAATATGTTGCCTTTTTTTTTTTCTCCCCCCCCCTTCCTCATTTTCAGAAACAGCATTGAGATATGTGAAGTGGCTATTTCTTTCTATTTCTCCACAGCTGTGTGAAAGGGTTCTCTGTCCTACCCGTTCAAAATGTCTAATGACTGCAGTCTGTGTGGATCAGCCGTCAGAAAACTTTTTCTAGTATCATTTTATGAGCTTCCAAGAGGCAAAATTCTTATTTTTTAGTGCATCCAGTTTACCAAGCCAATCTTACAGGCACGGCAGTAGTGGAGGGGGGGAAAAACGATCAGATGGGGAGCAATATTTTTACTTGTTCTGCTTACATTGTAAATTGGAGTATATTACTGTTTAAGCTCACTTGCTCTTTTTACTTGTATTCAGACTATTCAGCTCAGATGACTGCTCTGTCGATTGTGTATTGCACATCCCCATGTAATGAGGTACCCTAGTTTACCCTATGTATTATAGTCAAAAGTAGTGGTGATGGAATGAAGGTTTATTATATGAGTAAGCTGAGAAAAAACAACAAACATGCATTTTACTCATGAGGAAGGTAGAAAGGCCTAACGGTCATTTAAATCTAAGTGTTTTTCTAGAACTTGCCATTGCCCCCAATGCACTGAATCATACTAACACACACATATATATAGTTCATTGACTGCTATGTATATATTCTTCTGACCTAGCATTGCTGGAGAGACCTGTGTGCGTGCATGTGTGTGCAGTCAGTAACCCCAGTATCTAATTCTTAGATGGTTTCCCAGTTCTAACCCAGACTTGCTTTGTGATACAGGGAAAGTCATCTAATCCATCTCCAGACTAGTTCATGACTTGGAGGAAGGAGCAGATCATAACCATGCTTTTCTTCATACTTCTTTTGTCGGCCTCTACTTGCACATCACTTCAGTGATGGCCACTGCGCTGGGGAGGTGGGAGTCAGGTTTTTCATATCCCTCTACTTCTGCCTATTCTCACGTGCAGGAGGGGAGCAGTAGCCTCAAGGTGACTGCCTCCCTTCGGGGCAAAAAAGAGCAACTGCAAAGGAGGGAAGTGTGCTCTTTTTTTGTCCTGACCTTCCCTGCCCAGATGCCCAGGGTGGCTTCCTGACTGAGTCTCTGCCCGGTTTTGCTATCTGTAAAGCAGGGAAATAATGCCTACCTCATCAGAATGTTGCAAGAATTATATAAACCATTTGGAAAATGCTTTAGAGATGGAAAATGCTGGCATTCTGCCAGAGGAAGTAATTTCTCATGCTTTTGGGTGGTTGTTTTCTTTTTTTTTCCCCTCAGATTCAAGCCCTGAATGCACAAGTAAGCAAGAATCAATTGTCATTCCAGTGGCCTGAAAAGTAGCGTGTATAACTAAAACTCATTATTTAAAATAAACTACTCAGCTAGGGTTGTTAAAGACTTCACCAAAAGTTAAAATTTTAATCACAAATCTCTCTATGTGTGCTAAACCACTTTGCCAAGCTAGGTAATTTTTGTCCGGGGGTGGGGTGGGGGAAGATGCCATAGTCTCAGGACAAAACAATTTTCTTTACAGCTTGTGCACCACTGAGTATTTCTGTTGGTTTGTCAAACACATGCAATTGCTGCACTTCAAATCCTGCCACCTTGAAGATGTTGTCTGGAGAAAACCCTAAGGGGCTGCCATGGGACATATCCAATTCCAGGAGCTAAAAGCCACCCTGTGTCCCAAAGCAAGGAGACATGCCATGGCACTGTGCCAAGGAAAGAAAGAATTTTAATTTATTTTTTTAAATATACCTCATACATAACTAAACTCATGTATTTAATTTTGAAGCAGTATTTAATGCCAGAATTACAGGCATGGATCTATTTTCCCCCTCCCCTGAATCGTAAGTGAATCAGTTTGAAAACTAAACAACAGCTCTAATTTACGCTAAAAAAAAAAAAAAAAAAAGGAAAAAAGTTAGTAAACAGAAAATTAAAAGGGATTTAAAATTAATCCCTGGAATTCATTATTCCTCGAGAGTTAAATAAAGAGAGCAGTAAGAGTCCCAAGTGCTAGACTTTTACAAGCACGATGACGTAACTTCAGGTTTTGTGCACTGGCTCACAGGGAAGAGGAGGAGCCAGCCACGCTGGGGGGCCCGGCTAGGTCTGGGAAGGACTCCTCTGCAGCAGGGAGCACTGCACATTTAGAGGCTTAGGGCAAGGCAGCTAAGGACTTGCAGACGCCCATGTGATAGGTTAGATGTGTTTTCAGAGTGGAGGAGTCTGGAGTTTCAAAGGGTCCCAAGCCCCTGGTCTCGGTGATGGAGGCCTCTCACAGTGCTTCAGCCCAGCAGAGCAAGGTGCCCAACTCCATCACTTAGGGGGGCTGAGCCTGTCACGCCTGTCACAATGGCACAACTCATCCCTTATTATGTCCTCCTGAGGGCCCCTCAGTAATTTAAGGTGATAAAAGCCTTTGACAGTCTAGCCCTTCATGGCTTCCTTGAAATCAGAGCATCCAGGAGGCAACCTGTCCAAAACCTGGCTCTGGCACGCGGGAGGGACCATCTGGATTTCAGCAGGGGTCACAGCTCACCTGCCACAGGTCCCTCCCTTCAGTCTGCTCTCCTCATACAGCCAGCAGAGACACCGTACCCCTTGGGGGGCTCTGCTGAATGGCTCCCAAACACACGCCTGTGTCTCAGCCCTTCGCTCTGTTGGGTTGCCTCGAGCAAATCGCCTTAAGCTCAGAGTCCAGCTGGATGCCCAAAGCGAGCCAGTGAACGGTTCCCTCCCCTCCTCAGGCCCTGAGGAAACAGATTTGTGTGCGGAGAGGGTGGCAGAGGGGGCCATAAAGCCGCACGCATATTTGCCCCTGCGAGCCACCCCCAGCTCACAGGGAAGAGGGAGTCACCGTCATTTGACTGAAGGCAGACCTGGCACCTTGGAAGGGCTGGGCCAGCCCACGGGTCAGCTTGCGTTGGTCACTCCTCGGGGTAGAATAACAAGGCAGGAGGATCACTGATCACCTTGTAACTACTTGCCTATGTTTATACAGTGATTTTGTCTGATTTAGTGATTGTTAGTAGCAGTCCAAGTTCAAGTTTCTTCTTTTTTTTTTTTTTTACTCCTTTAAATTGAAAGCTGGTTTTATCTTGTCCATTGAGTGACACAGTGAATAATAGAGAGTGGCTACTCGTGCCTGTTGTGTAAATATATTATATATAAAATTATGTTATGTCATCACAAATATGGTGCCTGAATAGCAAATGGATTCTTCTAAGAAAATTCAAGGCAAACTCTCACCCAAATTATTATTTATGCATCTAGGTTTTAAGGTCTATTTTTTCCTGCAAATTAGACAGATTTAGTATCTCTCACACAGCAAGAAGAGCTCAATTCTTTCTTTTCTTCTTGCCTAGCAGTACCACAAAGTGCAATTTATAAAATCAGTACTGCATATTAAATATTGGAAGTGCCATATTGCAGTGAATACAAAACTTTGCAGTAGCATTTCTTTGCACCTTGTTGCATGTCGGCGTGCTAGATGATAGAAATGAGTAGTTAAAAATGCTTTCACACAATGCTAGAATCGTCATGTATAGGTAGACAAGTGTTAGACTATGGGCTATGAAGTGGGTTTCAAGGCTGTTTTAAGCCTGCTCTTCTTAAAACCGCACCTATTTGAGAAGAACTATTATTAGGAAGTTTAGCTAAACCAGGTAGAGAGATGAGCAATGCAGTTGGCTTTTAATTTGGAAAAGTATCTGATCTAACGACAGGGGACCTAACAAAAGGTACCAAGGAATTCAGTGGACTTAACGTGAAACAGGGGCATGTTTACATGGGGAATGTTTCCAGACTTGTGACTGCACAACAATAACATCTCTGTGCTTGAAACAGAGTAAGGCTTCTAGTAGAGCTATTCCATCCCAGCTCCCGAAACAGCCACTTTATCCCAGAAAAAGGATTTTTTTGCTCCAGAAGAGCGATTTTTCTCTTTAAAAATTATTCTATCCCACAGCAGCACCAGTATGGGGAGAGTCAGCAGGGAAGACGCACCAGCACATACCTCCAACGCAGTTGTACCAGGACATCTCTCTGTGTAGACAAATGCTTGGAAGAGAGCTGAGCCAGCAATTTGCAGCAAGCTGCAAGGGAATTCGGGGGTTCCCACAGGGCTATACTGAAAGTACCACAGGACTGAGATCTCTTCCCAGACTTGACAGAGACAGGTATACTGTCTAACCACGAAAAAAACAAGTCGTCTGTGTGTTTCCATTATTGCTGGTAAAAAAAAGTTCTAGAAAGACTAAGAGTAGAAGAAGGACACTCCACCTCTACCAATACCAATATTTTCAAAATTCATCCTAAGAAAGAGACATATTTTACTGATATTGTTTTATTTCATTAGTTGTGAGGTCTTACTTCATGCTATGGATAGGTGTTTCCTAGCTGTGAAAAGTGAATGGGAGAGGCAACCTTCAAATAATCCAGTTTTGGAAGTAGCAGGCTACATTACAAGGCAAAACATTTCAATTTCTCTGCCACAAAACAAAGAAAAAAATCCCACAAAACTCAACAAAATGAATATCTGTAGTACCATAAAAAGAAGTAGACCAGGAAGAAATGGCTTTGGGAACGTGTGTCTGCACATGTACAACATGAATAAAAAGAAGGGAAATAACGGCCATTGGAAGCTAGTCATGTTTCAAAACCAGACTTACCCGTGGTGAGCAGGGGCAAAAGCGCATGGTCATTTTTAACATTTCCAGGGTTCCTACAGCAGCCAGAGGGAGATTTGCATGGATAGGAAGAAAGACATCATCTTTTTCAGACCAAGCAAATTAAATCCAGTCCGTTTCCATGCAAATCTCTAGGGAAGAAATTCCCTTTGTCATAATTATTACTGAAACACATTAAATTTCTGCAGCAGGTCTATCTTTATGGCCTTCTGCAGAGTGAATTATGGACAGGGTTTCTGAGCAGGTAACTCACTGCAAACACTGCCATGTTAGTTAGCTCTTCCTGACACTGTC